AATGTGGCCCTAATGTGCAAGAGTGGTATTACCCCTCTAAGACCTGATAAGCATGGTTGTAGTTTATCTGCTTTATATTTACCATCTATTCTCATTAGATGTGCTTGAAAATGCATATATTACCAGGCACTATGGTAACAGCCATTGTCACGTATTTTCAGATGCGTTGCAGTTTATTTTTAAAGCCCCCCCCTGACAACTGGCTTGAACATTTCTCATGTCCCTGCATATGACCTGTATTGACAGATTGTGAAAAAATGCATGGCCTGTGAGAATTATCCCTTAATTAATGGAAAAAAGTAATCATTTTCAATGGTGTGGCACACATTTTTTTTTTAAACATATATAATATTTGTTGAAAGCCTCAAGCTAGATTTCAAAGACTCTATTGTATATACAGAGTCTGGTCATCCAGTCATATCTGTTAGAGCATACTCACACTAGGCGCTCCATGGATGCCCAAAGTCTAGTTTGATCGACTGTTGTGATGACAGCTCATGCTTGGGCATGGTTTAACATGCCTTGCCCTGGCCCATGTGGAGAGGTGGACTTGGGCACAGTTCAGTTGGACTCAAGACACAGTATGCATCTCAGTGATCTGGCTGATAGAGATGATGACATAAGCATATTGGGGCCCACCACAATGTAAGTGAAGGCCCGCAGGAAAATGGGGAGATGGGACAATCATGCTTGGGCTCAGTACAAGGCAACCATGCCTTGTGTGAGTATGCAGGATGCTCTATAATCTGGCCATTCTAATACCTTGTTCCCATGTACATCAAAGCAAAGAGTTTTTAATGCTTCCTGACCTTAAAGTGGTTCTTCAACCTTTTAAAAAAAATTTAAGTTATCAGCTACAAATACTGTAGCGGCTGACTTTTAATAAAAGAGCACTCACCTGTCCAGGGGTCCAGCGCCATGCTCATCCAAACCACTTCTTCGCCGGTCCCCAGTGCCAGCATGTTTACTGTGATTCCTAGTGGCTTCACAGCATAGTCAGCTGCACATGTGTAAGCCGCACTGTGCTTTGTGAGTGGTCCCACAGCCTTCTGGGACCTGCGATGGTTGTGGGCGGGGGAGAAGTTTTGATGGATCGCCGCAGCAATCCAACAGGAAGTGGGAGCAGTTACCTGTCAAAACAAGGTACCCCACCCCAAAAAAAGTGCCCAAAACTGAAGAAGAGGTGGAAAGGAGGGCATAAAGCAGAACTTCCTCTAAGCCTAGGTTCACACCTAAGCGTTTCCGCAGCGTTTTGCAGAAATGTAGTACAGTTAATTTAATATGATTTTCTATGGGACATGTTCACATCTTCTCGTTTTCACCTGCATTTTTTGGAAAGGGTCAGGGACTTTTTTGAATGCAAAAACTTGCACTTTTGGTTCTATAGACTTCAATGGAAATGCTGCAGAAAAACATGCAGTGTATTTTTGCCAAATTTTATGTGTTTTGTGGTTCTGCCCAGCAACAAGAAAAATTTAAAGAAATGAAAAAAAAAAAAAGAAGCAAAACGTGGCAAAAATGCAGGTGCAAAAACACAAAACGCAATGCAGAAATGGGTCAAACGCAACCTGCATTGGTGTGAACCTGGCTTTAAGGATGAAATTCTGCTTTAATGGACCCACCCAAGCATCCATTTGAAGGGTGAAAGAGCAGCAGCTCCCTCTGCTTTTCCTCCTGTAAGTACACTGACTTAATTAGATTGACATCCTTGTGCAAAGCAAGAGAGCCCTGACTGGTTCAGAAGGTTGGCTCTCCTGCTCCAATGCTGACTGCTGATGTGCAGGGCATTACAGGAGGCTGTTTCAAGACTGATGCAGGTAATATTGCCAGTAGTCTGTAAAAAAAATAAAACATTAATAAATATTAATAAATATATTACTTGGAGGTTTTTCTGTCTTTTTAGAGTTTTTTTCAATTCATATTTCCTACTTTTGGGTACAAATGATTACAGTATATAATGTGCTGGTAGGTATAGAGCGCAAGACAGAAAAAGTCTCAACCAATTTTACAAATTTCACACCACTAAAGTCTGATGATTTTCTTTAGCTCATTGATGGTTTTTAATTACAGCTCCTTCCCAATGAATGAGGTAAACAGCCTGGGAGTGAAACCATAGTAGAGCGATCAGGTGTAACCTATATATTTTCTGCACAGCTATAGCTGGAACACTTAGCTATTCCTGATCTTTCCATGCAGATGACGAAAAAAGTCTGTTCTGTTTGCCAAGACCCAGTTTTGTTTTGTGGACATTTTTAGACTCCTTCTCACCACCCAATCAGTGGTGATACTGTGTTATTAACAGTCTGGAAGGAGACTTAACACCTTTCCTGCTAAGGAGGAACATGGCACTGTCAATTAATTCACAGGGAAATGCAGTTTCAAGCAGCAGTCTGTTTTATCTGTTGTTAGGTAAAATTTAATTTAGAGATACAGATATAATGAACCATTGGTGGAAGGTCAGCCATCTACTGACCAGGGAGGTCACAGGATGCCTATAGAAAACAAGCAGTATACCTTTCTCTAATACCGTGTGAGACTATATTCCTATATGTAATAAACCATTGGTAGAAGGTCAGCCATCTACTGCTAAGCAGGGGCGGATTGACCATTAGGAAACTCGGGCACTGCCCGAGGGCCGGGGTCAGTAGGGGGCCCTATGAGATGCCCCTGGTACCTTTTTCATAGGCTTTTTTGAGTTTGGGCAAGGACACGGGGGCCCTATGATCCCCTATTGCCCGGGGGCCCCATGAGTTGTCAGTCCGCCCCTGCTGCTAGGAGAGATCACAGTATTCCCACAGAAAGCAAGCAGTAGAGCTATCAGTATCACCATTTGAGACTATAGGACAGTGGTCTCCAAACTGTGGCCTGGGTTGGATGTGCCCTTTGCTTGCCTTTAGCTGGCCCTTGTGGCACTATTCCTCCCAGTGACACCAACGATGGGGCACTATTCCTCCCACTGATGCCAACAATCGGGACACTATTCCTCCCACTGACACCAATGTTAGGACACCATTCCTCCCTAGGGTTACAACTTCAACCCTATAAAACCGAACACATATTATTTACACAGGTTCTGTGGCTGATTAAGGTGGTAATTAAACTCACTTACTGCCTTATCTGCATTAAATTAGCCTCAGAAGCTGTTACAGGGGCAGACTGACAACTCATGGGGCCCCCGGGCAATAGGGGATCATGGGGCCCCTGTGTCCTTGCCCAAACAAAAAAGCCTATGAAAAAGGTACCAGGGGCATCTCATGGGGCCCCCTACTGACCCCGGGCCCTTGGGCAGTGCCCGAGTTTGCAAATGGTCAGTCCGCCCCTGAGCTGTGTAATTAATATGTTCAGTTTTAAAGGGATGAGGTAGCAAACCCTATTCCTCCTATTGACACCAATAATGAGTTCTGTTCCTCTCTCTGATACCAATGATGGGGTGTTGTTACTGACCACACTGGCCACAGTCTGGCCCCTTCAAAGTCTGAAGGATAGTAAACTGTCTTTTTGTTTGGAAAGTTTAGAAACCCCTGCTATAGGGCATAGTCTTATATTTATTTATTTCAGGTACTTATATAGCGCCATTAATTTATGCAGCACTTTACATATATATTGTATGTATGAATGTGCATTCACATCAGTCCCTAACCCTCAAGGGGTGTACAATCTAAGGTCCCTAACTCACATTCATACATACACATACTAGGGCCAATTTAGACAGGATCCAATTCACCTACCAGCATGTCTTTGGAGTGTGGAAGGAAACCGGAGTACCCAGAGGAAACTCACGCAGGCACAGGGAGAACATGCAAACTCCAGGCAGGTGGTGCAGTGGTTGGGATTTATATATAACAAACCTTTGGTAGAAGGTCAGCCATCTACTGCCCAGGGAGGTCACAGGATGCCTGCAGAAAACAAGCAGTATACCTTTCTCCAGGACCCTATAAGATTATAGGGAATATTTTTATATACAGTATAATGAACCATTGATAGAAAGAGAGCCATCTGCTATCCAGAGGTCACAAGTACAATGTTCCTACAGAAAACAATCAGTATACCTTTCTTCAGTACCGTATGTGCCTATAGGGCAGAGGTCTCCAAACTGCAGCCCAGAGGCTGGGTTTGGATCTTTGATTGCCTTTATCTGGCCCTTGGGGACCTATTTCATCAATTGACGCCAACAATGGGGCATAATTCCCGTTGCTGACATCAACAATGGGGCACAAATCCTTGCACTAACACCAATAATACATCACTATTCCTTCCACCGACACTAATGATGGGGCACTATTCCTCCTACTGACATCAAGATGGGGCACTATTCCTCCCACTGACACCAATGATAGGGCATTATTCATCCCAATTACACAAATGATGGGGCATTATTCCTCCCAAGGATACCAACAATAGGGCATTTTTCCTCCCAATGACACCAACAATAGGGCATTATTCCTCCCTATTACACCAACAATGGGGCATTATTCCTCCCAATGACACCAAAGATATGACATTGTTTACTCTCAGTAGATACCAGGACATTTTCTACAACCACTGGCCACAGTCCAACTTCCTAAAGTCTGTAGGACGGTAAGGCCTGGCCCTTTGTTTGGAAAGTTTGGAGACCCCCTACTATAGGGCATATTCTTTCATATAATGAATCTTTGATGAAAGATCATCAATCTACTGACCAGGGAGGTCGCAAGATGCCTACAGAAAACAAGGCATATACCTTTCTCCAGTACCGTGTGAGGCTATAGGGAATATTTGTATATGTGATATCCAGTTGTTGAGCTATTGATCAAAAGTACTAATAGTGAGTCACTTATTTTTTAAATGTGCTTCTACCAATAATATTATGAAGTCAAAATGTATGAAACACCAAACAATGAAAAAGTCTTTTGGTGACAAAATCCTGATTATGATGAACAGCCGTGTCCACAATAATTCTCCAAGTGTGTAGTGAGAAAGAGACTCTTGTGCCCACCACCGCAAAAAACACGCTGCTCCTTACTGAATAGATAGACTCCAGATTATAGGTGGTCTAAGGCTAGGTTCACATCTGTGCAGGTGGTGCTGCTGTGGATCCGCACGAAAATCCGTGCAGCCGCACCACCCGCACAGAGAAATGCGGACCCACGGGAGGGTGCCATTAGTTCTAATGGCACGCCGCCCGCACTGGAAAAGGTATTCATACTGGGAACCGAGGTTCTCGTGCAAGCTGCGTTTTTGGAAGAAGTGCAGGGACTTCTCCTATGCATGTTACGGAGACGGCAGTCCATTCAAATGAATGGACTCTCGTACCTGTCCGGCCATACCAGGGCTACCAGAACATGATGCGGAACATATCTTGCTTGTAACATCCTAGAAAAGAGATGTCCCAGATTTCGGTATGTCTCCTCCTCTCTTCCTACTATCCAGAGGTCACAAGATGCCTACAGAAAAAAAGCAGTATATCCACTTTTATAAGAGACTATCTATCTATCCATTCAGTCATATCCAACCCTTGGCGATTGCATGGACTGTCACTCCCAAGTGACATTTTCCATGAATTCTCTAAGCAATTATTTTTACAGGGTAGGTTGCCAGGTCTTTCCCCAACCCCTACCATGCAGGAGATCCTGCATGGCCAGGGATGAAACTAGGACAATTTAGACAGGAGCCAATTAACCTACCAGCATGTCTTTTAGGGTGGGAGGAAACCGGAGTACCCGGAGAAAACCCACACAAGCACAGGGAGAACATGCAAACTCCATGCAGGAGGAGCCATGGTCGGGAATCGAACCCATGACCCATTTACTGCAGACATGCTAACCACTAAGCCACTGTGCCGCCCGTAAGAGACCATAGGGGATATTATTATTATATGACAAACCATTGATAGAAGATCAGCCATCTACTGACCAGATAGGTCACATGATCCCTACAGAAAACAAGCAAATCTTTTTTCTTTTAGATTAAAATAAAACCCAAGACCCAGTACTGTATAAGACTATAGAGGGCATTCCCATACATTGCTGAGTCTTGGATTACATTTTGAATAAAGAAGTGTTTTTGTGCTCCTCTTGTTTCCTTCAAGATTTTCATGATCTCTCTGGCCAATGGAACTGTCTTCTCCAGACGATTGGCCATAGTTGATTGGCCTATAGCAAACTTTTGCATTTTTGCTACATTTTTAGCTACATTTTTCTTTTCATTGAAAAACTTGTTTTCACCTTTTTTCACACTTTGTTTCATCTCAGTGGTGCTGGTTTCCCTTTTAGATTGTAAGCTCTAACAAGCAGGGCCCTCCGATTCCTCCTGTACTGAAATGTATTGTAATTGTAATGTCTACCTTCATTTTGTAAAGTGCTGTGCAAACTGTTGATGCTATATAAATCCTGTATAGTAATAATTTCCAGCAGTCTCTTTGCAGCTACTTCCTGTGGACATGCATTCCAGTGATGATTGCACAGAATTTCTCAGGTTGAGGTTCCTGATGGTGATAACAGCGAACCATGCCTATAGTATGTGTTTTAACTGGTCACTTGTCATCTCCATTGGACACCTATGTGAAAGGGTGACAACACAGAAGCACAACTGGGAGACAGGGACAAAGCATTGTCACCCCATAGAAAGGAGAAGCCTGAACAGGAACCTTCATGGTCAGATGTTACTTTAATGAAAGCAGTAGAGAGATCTTGAGATCATATGATTGGATTTACATATACATTAACGACAACCACATCTGGTTTCTGAGTTTTTATTGACCAATGGTGATTTCTTCATAATGTGAAATAAACAGTTCATTTCAGTCTGAGTGCGACAGGGCAACACACATTGCATAGACGCAGGTCATACTTTTTAAAAAAATTTGATCAGAGAAACCATACCCCTATGTCCTTCTTACAACTGAACTCCAGGATAAGCAATAATTGTCAAAATACAATGGCATGTGTACTCTTACTTGAATCTTGGAGTACTTTGTGCATTTTCTCTACACCTGGGCAGTAATTCAGTGTGAAACTTCTTCTTTGCACCGGAGCTTCCTGTAATAAAGACCAGTCAGTGTTGCTCTCTCCCCTAGTGCAGGATGGCTGGTCTTTCCTCCGCCCCTCCTCTAGTTTTCTGCAGGCAGCCTGTAGTGGGTGGAGCCTGCTGGGTCCTCCCACAGCTCTGCTCTCTGCATGTGCAGCACAGTAATGATGCCTATGCTACTTTCATAAGGTAAGCTCTGGGTTTGCAAAGGCATTTGGTGCACACATAGTGATTTATACCCTTTTTGACTATTAAGGAAAATATTTCAAATAAAGTATTTGTCTCTGGAGTTCAGCTTTAATAAACTGATAACATTTTTAGCAGGACTGTGCTGTATGAGCTTTTGGTAAGCTATATTAAAGATACATATAGCACAGTGGCTAAATCATGGGTGTCCAACTGGCGGCCCTCCAGCTGTTGCCAAACTACAAGTCCCATGAGACATTGCAAGATTGACAGTTACAAGCAGGGGCGGACTGACCAATGGAGCACTCGGGCACTGCCCGAGGGCCCAGGGTCATTAGGGGGCCCCATGAAATGCCCCTGGTACCCTTTTTATAGGCTTTATTGAGTGTGGGCAAGGACACGGGGGCCCCATGATCCCCTATTGCCCGGGGGACCCCATGAGTTGTCAGTCTGCCCCTGGTTACAAGCATGACTCCCAAAGGCAGAGGCATGATAAGACTTGTAGTTTTGTAACAGCTGGAGGGCCGCCAGTTTGACACACCCTGGGCTAAATGGTTAGCACTTCCACCTGGCAGTACTCGGGTCATTGGTTTGAATCCCAACCACGACACCACCTGCCTGGAGTTTGCATATTCTCCTTGTGCTTGCATGGGTTTCCTCCAGGTACTCCGGTTTCCTCTCACACTTTAAAGACATGATTGTAGGTTAATTGGATCCTGTCCAAATTGGCCCTTATATGTATGAATGTAAGTTAGGGACATTAGATTGTACACCTGTTGAGAGTTAGAGACTGATGTGAATGTACAATATATATGTAAAGTGCGGCGTAAATTTACGGCACTATATAAGTACCTGAAATAATAATATTAAATGCCCATTACTAGTCTGTAAAGGTACCGGAATGCATATTGGCAGCTCTTCCATTGACTAGAAAGCAGCTTAAAGTATTAACTGGTTTTTTTAGCAGTTTCAACAGCACCATGTTTTTAAACAATATCCTGCTTTGTATTTGGCGTGCTATTTTTGTAATTATTAGAACGCACTGGCGACTCAGCTTCAGTTGTACATTAGCCTGGTTTATGTAGCCATATTGAACATTTGTGATGGCCTAACAGGCCGAAGCGCAAGTGCATCCTCCATTGTATGGAACAGGGGCGGACTGACCATTTGGAAACTCGGGCACTGCCCGAGGGCCCGGGGTCAGTAGGGGGCCCCATGAGATGCCCCTGGTACCTTTTTCATAGGCTTTTTTGAGTTTGGGCAAGGACACAGGGGCCCCATGATCCCCTATTGCCCAGGTGCCCATGAGTTGTCAGTCCGCCCCTGGTATGGAACATTGTGTATTGTTCATTAGCCTGCATTGCTGTAACTGTAACCATCTCAGATGACAAAATAAACAATCTTTTCCCCAAATTTGTAACAGCTAACAGAAGAAGAAACAGTCACAACCATGACAAAGGGCTTGTGTGGACGGGCGTTGTTTTCCTCTGTTTGATGTGTATTTGAAGTGTACATCAAACGAAGTTCAAGAGATTCCAATTAACCTCAATGGTGCAGTGTGTAAGTGGATTCGGAGGCTGCGTTGGTCCTGCTTTACTTGGCGGTGTGTATCATTGGATGCAGCAGGTCCTACTGAGATAAGCTTGCATGGTAGGAAAACCGCATGATCGCGCTGATCAATGAGACGTTCTATTTCTTCTGACACCTGCAGAAAAAAAAGCCTCAAATGTGTGTCTCATTGGTCAACATGATTAGGTGGCTTGGATGACCAATAAGCACTTGCCATTGAGTATATTATGATGGATAAATGCTAATATTCACCAGCACACCACGGATCATCAAGTACCATCCAAAACCTTTTATTGGACCATGATCACATCACAGTGGACAAAGCGCATCGTTTTGGAGCCACGCAGGATCCCTTCATCTGCCTGACGAAGGGGTCCTGCGTGTCTCTGAAACCCTGCATTTTGTCCACTGTGATGTGATCATGGTTTAAAAAAATGTTTTCGACAGTACTTGATGATCCGTAGTATGTTGGTGAATATCAGCATTGATCTGTGATATCAGGTTCCACCTGGCTGTTGGTGCAGCACCAGCTACTCATGAGCTTTATCCAGGAAAGTGTGCGATGGGAATATTGATATTACATTATGATGTATACTCACTCCAGGGCTATGCATTGCAGCATGTATGGGCCACTGCAACACGGGACATCACAACCCTTATGCAATGGAGGCCAGCGGGATGGCCAGGATATTTGGAGTTAGTTCACTATTTCATTTTTCATGAAGGTGAGCTTACCCTTTAATTTTGAATAGATGAGGACAAGGGCGGACCAACCATACGAGCACTCGGGCACTGCTCGAGGGCCCGGAGTCAGTAGGGGGCCCCATGAAATGCCCCTGGTACCTTTTATAGGCTTTTTTGGGTGTATTGGTATCCACCCTCTGAAGAAGTGCGTGCGCACGAAACGCGTTAGAAGGAGCCAAAGAGACCGTGACGTCACACCTCCGGCGCCACGTGGAGGCCCAGTGGCCATCTTTATGTCTGGACACCATTTGTTTTTAGAGCCCACTTTGATCTAGCCTCTAACAGTATCCAGAGAGGGAGTTCCTAAGCTGACATCAACACCCGCCCATCCCTTCAAGGGATCTTTGGCTAGCTGGATCGACTACTCCTGTTCATCCCACCATACCTAGAGGGGGAGGACCATTCCCAGAGGGGGACCGTTTCCAGTACCTTAAGGGGACCTCTACCATATGCATATATATATAATGCGTATTTACGTTACGCATCTGGTGAGTACGTAATTTAGCTATTTCTTTGGAGCACCATCAGTCGGATTATATCAGTCACATACAATTTTTGCATACTGGCACTTTATGTATATATGGACATTTTATTAATTTGGTAATTTTAGCGCTGCACCTTTGTATTTGAGCTATTATTTGAAGGTTTTATCTGGTTACCTTTGGTGTTTTAGCTGCTTTATTTGAGAGCACTCACTTTCTTTTAGATATTTATCTTTTTTGGGTGTGCTTAGAGTGTGGGCAAGGACACAGGGGCCCCTATGAACCCCTATTGCCCGGGGGCCCCATGAGTTGTCAGTCTGCCCCTGGATGAGTTAAATCCCTGCTAGGTTTCTTCACCATCTGTGGAGATTGCCCTTCACTTCCTGTCCTGTAGAAGAAAAAAATCTCTCTAAAGTGAGGTAAATGCTCTCTCAGACAGTTGTCACCAGAACAAGTGTCTGCAAACTGGCCATACACTGAGACAATTTTGGACAGTTTTAAATGAAGTAGTTAAAATCTGATCAATGGGTGGTCCTGTCTGCACCATGAACCTGACATCCTTCCATTGAATAGTCTAGATAGAAAATTGTTGGCTGAACAGCGCTACATCCATTCGGCACAATGGTCACAGAGGGAGACTCATCCATCCATGCTGTCTAGCACAGATAGAGGACTGTTAGGCTAGGTTTACATCTGCGCGGGTGGTGCTGCTGTGGATCCGCACAAAAATCTGTGCACCCGCACCCACCCGCACAGAGGGTTGCGGACGCGCAGGCGGGTGCCATTAGTTCTAATGGCATGTCGCCCACACTGGAAAACGCAACCGTACTGGGAACCGAGGTTCCCATGCAGGATGCGTGTCACAGGGCACAGGAGCCCATTCAAATGAATGGGCTCTCGTGCCTGCGCAAAACGTGGCCCGCATGGCCGCATATATGTGAACTGGGGTTTAGATTTCTTTCCTTCAGCCAAAATCTGTATATGGCCACTTTTCCTTTCCTTTTTGTCCCAATGATAGGGCTCACAGGACAAATTGAGAGAGTGACACTCCCTTCCAGGGGTGCAAACAACAATAAAAATCAGGCAGTGGTCTTAACCAATCACAACGCTTTCCAAGAAATTAAAATACATATTTGGCTTTACATACTCTACCCCCTTTATATGACAGTCTGGTGTATTGGTGCAAGCAGAAGGCACAGGTTCAGCCCTATTACCTCAGCCTGTAAAACTCTTATGAGGCCGAAAGCTGCAGCAGCTGGATGGGGCCAGATGGTTCACCAAGTGATATCAACATTAAGGGTAGATTTGGATGTGTGTTTAAATCGGGGCTTGACAAATCCCAGGTGCCAGGTCACCATGGCGTCTAGAAATTGAATCCTGGCACCTGGATTCTCACACTGCCTCCCAGTGACTTCAATGCAAAATCGTATCCCATTGATTTAAATGCAAAATTGTGCCCCATTGACTTCAATGCAAAATTACGTCCCATTGACTTGAAAGCATAATAATGTCCCATTGACTTCAAAGCAAAAACTCCTCCTACAGACAGGCTGTCTCTTCCAGGTAGACTGTAGAGCAGTGGAGATCGTACTGTCCAGCTCCAGCCTGTAGGTAGGCCCCCCATCTTCTGGGGGCCCCTCCCAGGCTCCACACACCAGCACCTTCTTTCAATCCATCTTCCACCCGACACCCCTGCTGTTCAGGCTCTCTAACATGTAAGGGTTATCCTATCCTTCCATGCCAGGCCTCCTGCCTGGGTATTGACCAAGTTCCCTCAAACATGCAACTCCAGGCCTCCTCCCCTCTTCTGCCCCTCTTTTAGAAAGGTCTTGCAGTTTCTAGCAGGGTGGGAGGGCTCCAGAAGCCCTGACCTGTGCAGCCTCCCAGCCTAACCTGAGATAACCTCACTGCCTTACTCCCAGGTTGACTCATCTCAGGCTTCTGACAAGCCTCTGACTAACCAAAAAAAATCCTATCTAGAGGGCCCTACAAATAGTATCTGGTGAAACTACGAGCAGGGGCGGACTGACCATTTGGAAACTTGGGCACTGCCGAGGGCCCGGGGTCAGTAGGGGGCCCCATGAGATGCCTCTGGTACCTTTTTCATAGGCTTTTTTGAGTTTGGGCAAGGACACAGGGGCCCTATGATCCCCTATTGCCCGGGGGCCCCATGAGTTGTCAGTCCGCCCCTGACTATGAGCCAAGGCTTCTTGGGAGAAGTATTGCTGAGATAGATTCAAAAAACTTATCCAGTCACCATTCTTTCCTCTGACTCTGGATGAGTCTGTAGCTCTTCTTCCCAGCCTTTCTTCTCAGACTAACCAGGGATATTCTGCCCACTTGAACCCAACCGAGATGTCCAAGGGCATGTGGATCCATGCAGCCCCTTCTGACCACCCTCTGATATCCATGCTTCGCTGTAGTCACCACACTGCACTGGTCTCTTTGTAGGTCACCTTTCAAGCTGACTGCAGTAATACATTTGTGGCCAGTGCTATCTGGTCTCTCTGAATGTTCTGTCTCTTTTCCATCTTCCCCAGCTGTTTGGCATTAGGAGAAAATAATAGGGCAATAATAGGCATTTTACAGGCCAAATCGTATTATTCCTGCAACTGTAAAGCAGACATAGGTTATATTGCCCTGCTGTTTGCAAGGGAACAGATAAGCAGAGGAACCTTTCTGAATATTTAATGTGCTTCGCACACTTGCCTTACAACACTGAGATCCTGGGCTTGATTCCAACTAGGCTCACTATCTGCATGGAGTTTGCATGTTCTCCCTGTGTGGGTTTACTCCAGCTGCTCCTGTTTTCTCCCACAACCCAGAAATGTATTAGGAATTCAAGAGGCCCTACCGTCTGTTTGTGACTGTAATTCTGTGGACGGTAGAGTGTAAGCTTCTTTTGGGATGGGAGGCAGATCCGAATGGTCCTGGGCTATGTCTAGAGTGCCGTGGGATGTGTCAGCATTGTATGAGCGAGTAGAATAAATAATTCACAGCGGTATGACACTTCAAACAGCAGGAAATCTACATTGAGGTTGAAGTAACTGGTGCACTGAGAAGAATGTCGGGAAAATACTGAAAGATGGTCCCAGCTGTGCCCACAAAAATTCCACTCAAAACAGAAAAAAAGTACTTTCAGGCAGATTTAACAACCACTGCTACCTCGAAAATTCCAGGAGATTCTCCTTAGTTGTTTCAGTGCTCACCCACATGCTGAAGCTCTTTTATCCCAACGCCCCCTTCACACATGTGCAGTGTCTTACCACATTATTATTATTATACAGGATTTATATAGCGCCAATAGTTCGCTCAGCGCTGTACATTACAATGGGAGACGATACATGAGACAGTACAATAACAATACAATGCAATACACGAGGGGGGTTGAGGGCCCTGGTCCTTGGAGCTTACAATCTAGGAGGGAGGGGATGGTGGCACAGGAGGAGATAGCTGTGGGAAATGGAGTGGTAGGAAGAGTGGAGGAGATCGGCAATTAGCAGGGGGCGGGGTAGGCTTCCCTGAAGAGGTGAGTTTTCAGGGTGCACCTAAAGGAGAGGAGAGTAGGTGATAGTCTGATGGATTGGGGTAGGGAGTTCCAGAGGATGGGTGATGCCCTGGAGAAGTCCTGTAGGCGGGCATGGGAGGAGGAGACCAGGGAAATAGAGAGAAGGAGGTCTTGTGAGGAGCGGAGAGTATGTTTTGGGTGGTATTTGGATATTAGGTCAGTGATGTAGTTTGGGGCAGTATGGTGGACAGCTTTGTACGTCAGTGTTAGCATTTTGAATTTGATCCGTTTGGCAATCGGAAGCCAGTGGAGGGATTGGCAGAGGGGGGTGGTGGAAACGGAGCGGTTGGTAAGGACCACATGCATGTTAACAAGCATCATTCTGTGTGGTAGCGTGTATTGTATTAGGCTTGATTCACATTTATGCATTTTGTGTTTTATGCTTTCTCCAGTGGTTTTTGAAGTTTGTTTCGTTTTTTTTTACATTTTTAACACATTTTGCTCAGCTCTTTTTTTTTGTTAAAGTGGAAATTTTTTTGTTGCTGGGCAAAATAAAATTGCAAAATGCGTCAAAAATGCGGCAACCATGCATTTCAGCACTTTCTCTAATAAACTCTATTGTAGCAAAAACACTGCTTTTTGCTTTTAAAAAAATCCCTGACCCTTTCCAAAAACGCAGCAGCTCAAAAAAGCATCAATGTGAACATGTTCCATAAGAAACCATGTTAAATGGACTGTAGTGCATTTCTGCAAAAAGCACTAAAATACGTATTCGTGTGAACGGAGCCTTAAAATGATTCTAAAGGCCTAAGGATTTGTATACCATTATACATTCTCTGCATTAAGGTAAACCCTTCTGTGCTGCAGGATACCCCCAGCCCTCATTTCTCATGATCTAAATCCAGCGCTCTGTCCAAGAGCACCAGCTCCCTCCACCATCTCCCTCCCCACAGGGAAGATTGATAACAGTGGGAGCCGTTGGCTTCCACTGCTGTCAATCAAAAAACAAGGGAGTGGGGGTGGGCCCAAGAAGCACTATGTGTCTCTATAGACACAGACAGCATAGCTTAGCTTGACTGTTTTTTTTTTTTTTTTTACATCTCTCCCCCCAACCACTAGTCTAAATGAGGATTTACAGTGCAGTGCAGTGCAGGGTAGAGTTTATTTCCATTTTCTGACACCGCATCTATCTCAGTGTAGTTTGTATTAGCCTTCTGAATCATATATATGAGCTCTTTCCAACCCACCACTTTAACTGAAAGGCCTGGTTCACACCTATGCATTTTTTAGTGCTTTTTGCAGAAACTCACTACAGTCCACTTAACATGGCTTCCCATGGGACATGTTCACATGCTTTTTTGAGCCACTGCATTGTTGGGAAGGGTTAGGGTCTTTTTTAAATGCAAAATGTTGCGCTTTTGGTTCAATAGACTTCAATGGAGACACTGCAAAAAAATGCATGTAATGCATTTTTTATGCGTTTTTGATGCTTTTTGTATTTTTAATCTGCCCAGCAAGTTGCCCCCCCCCCCCCAAAAAAAAGAAGCAAAGTGCATCAAAAACGCACGTGAAAAACACAAAAAAAAGTACCGCAAAAAGCACTGCAAAATGGACAAAATACAAACTGCATTGGTGTGAACCAGGCCAAAGTGAGACTGCTAGAAGCATGTTCAAACTCTTCAAGGTTCTTCCCCCACCCAGCTAACAAAGTTCCTAAAACACGAGACTGCAAGATCTGTCTAGTTAGACATAGCCAAAAAAGCTGGCGACTGCTGAATTTATTTTTTATTACAGCTCTGCCTGCTCACTTCAGCAGCAAATGTGGAGACCCCTTTAATTGGACAGCACAGTGGCTGAATGGTTAGCACTTCTGCCTGGCAGTACTTGGGTTGTTGGTTCAAATCCCAACCATGGCATCACCTACCTGGAGTTGTCTGTTCTCCCTGTGCCTGCATGAGTTTCCTCTGAGTACTCTGGTTTCCTCCCACACATGCTGGGAGGTTAATTGGATCCTGTCTAAATTGTCCCCAGTATGTGTATGTATGATTGTAAATTAGGGACCTTAGATTGTACAACTTTTGAGGGTTAGGGACCGATGTAAATGTAATATATATGTGTAAAGCACTGCATAAATTGACAGCATTATATAAGTACCTGTAAAAAATAAATAATTAGCCTGATATTAAAAATCTGCATTGTGCATGGGGTGATTATATGCTGAACGTTGGGCAGGCTTACTGGAGCCTTGTTGGCACAGAAAAGCTTCATGATGTACTTATACTTCAGCAGATGTGGTTATTGTGCAACATGATTTTCCATTCCACAGAAAAAAAAAAAAACAACAACATTCTGTGGCCATAGAAGCAGAGAACAATTGGATACACAAGCACAACCTGGCTGCCATGTCATGTCTCTTGGTTCAGATG